GTTGTATCCCATGATGTCCCAGCCATCGTCAATGGTGTCCCAGTCGATACCGTCGAAGTACAACACGCTAAAGCCGCTCACTTTGCCGCTAAGGCCGAAGCTCATGCTCGCAACGGAGATTACGTCCATGGAGTTGTAGGATACACTGGTGTAGTAGCTCCAGTAGCTCACCACGTCCCAGCCATCGTCAACGGAGTCCCAGTTGATACCGTCGAAGTACAACACGCCAAAGCCGCCCACTACGCCGCCAAGGCTCAAGCCCTCAACGGTCACTACACTCACGGAATCGTAGGATACACTGGTGTAGTAGCTCCAGTAGCTCACCACGTCCCAGTAGTATCCACTTACGCCCATCATTACACTCCATCTGTATACACTGGACCACAACACGTCCCAGTAATTGATGCCTCCGGTGTCCCAGTAGAAACCCCAGAAGTTCAACACGCCAAGGCTGTACATTTGGCTGCTCACGTTAAAACCGCTTCCAAGTGGTAATTTTCCAAAATTGAAAATGTTATAAAAAAAGGCTGTCCACGTCCAGAGTTTCTGAATGAATCATTCAGTTAGCTGACATATTAATTGTAACTCGTGATTTTTTTTTTTAATTGATGTAAATAAATATGAAAACATGAATAATTGCACTTTTCTTTTGAAGTAGACAAAATATAAACATAATTCTCCTACTAATTACAACAAATCTAAATAGATAAATTACAAGAATTATTCTGATAAAACATTTTTTTTAATAACTTTTGCAATTAAATTAATACTGGTTTAATGATCTTCAATTTTATTTAAATAATTTATGTAATTACTAAAATGTTTATATTATTTTCATTATCATTTAAAAATAATTTAATTAACCACTTGACGTAAACTCTTTCAAATACAATTATTTTTTATTGTTTTTTGCATTAGATAACAATGAATATTTATTTGCAATAGTAATTAATAGAAAATTAAAGCGTTTTGTTCATAAATAATATAGATGATTACATTATATAAAAATTCTATCAAATTGATATTACGTTAATTATCAAAAATTTTTCGGAAATTTATTTGTAGCTTTGATAAATAATTAAAAATGAGTAATTAAATATACTTTATAGTAATTACAATAAATTATTTAACAAATTGGAAGTATAAATTTTGCAAAACTTATTGCACAATTTTAATGCAAAGAAAATGTATCTAGATTTTTTCATTTGCAATTATTTTGAAAACTGATCAAATTTATTTATTATTTAAACTATGAATAAAATACAATTCTTTAAATTTAATATAGAAGTGTTAAGTAATATTATTACTAAAATGTTACCAAATTAGTAAATTATTGTTCATTTATCTAATTTATGTTTGAAAAATGAAAGAAATATATCCTTGCTCTCTTTGCAAACTAAATTTTACTTATTACAAAATTTGCATACACATTTTTCTTTTCTACAATAAAATTAACTGGGCCAGAACAATTTTACTATTTTACATTGGTCGATTTAAGAATGGGCATAATATTGTTTTTTTTTATGTCTGCACTAATTAATATTCAATAGATCAAACACACCCAATGAGTGCTTGCATTAATTCACTCTTCCGAATCGTAAATTAGTTTTAGTGGTTTTCGAGCTCATTTCTAATCCTTGATCTTCAAATATGTTTGAAGGTGCTTCACTTTTCATCGAGTATAAAAGTATAGAGCGAAATCGGAATTGGCACAGTCTTAACAGTCCTATCAAACAGGAGGTTAATAACTACTCATAAAAATGAAATTCTTTGTAAGTAATTGAAGTTTTTAAATAGTATTTGGAGTGCTTTAATTGTGATTTTTAATACTTTAGGTTGTCTTCGCTTGCGCTTTGGCTGCTGCCTCCGCTGGATACCTTTCTCCTCTTGGATATGGAGCTCACCATGTGTATGGAGGACATCAAGTTTATGGTGTTCATCATGTAGAACATCAACATCTTCCAGTTATTGGAGCTGATGGTGTCCCAGTTGATACTGCTGCCGTCCAACAAGCTAAGGTTGAACATTCCGTGCACAAGGCTCATGCT